GAATATTTATATATACATATAAATATAATCAATTCTTTGTGATGAAAATACTATAAATTTTCAAGAATGAGTTGTTCTTGTGGATATAATTTTAACTGTTCAAATGTATCTAATCGATTGAGCTGTGTCAACTAAATAAAAATAAAAATATAATAAATATATACATATAGAATAATATTAAGGTATAATTGAACACATACATCACGTTTTGGATAGGTTGATAAAAGTTTGTAATCACCAAATATACGACCTTGACTTGTCAAATAATCAAAAAGAATCTAAATATATTTTAGAAAAAGAAATTTTTGTCTCATTAATATTTAATAGAATTAAAAAAATCTACTTGAAGCGTATCTTTAATACGAAAACGTCTCATTAAAATGCCTTCATCATTTGGTAAACGAATTTTCAATCGAGTAATATCTTTTTCTGTTTCACTTGGTTCAGCAGGTAGGCGAGCTTTACATTCTTGTTGTTGTTGCTTTAATAAAAAAAAAAGGATTAATTTCTCTTTTTAAATTTAGCAACTCGAAAAAAAAAGATATTTACTAATTTTTGTAGTTTTAATCGTTCATTAGCATCATGTTCTTCTTTTTGTCTTCGTTCATCAGCTAATCGTGCTTGTTCTTTAGCTAAATCTGCTTGAAGTGATCGATTATATTCATCTTCTTGTTGTTTTTTAAGATTTTCACGTTTTTCACGTGATATTTCTTCTTCAGCATCACGTTGTCGTTGTTGTTCATATAAATCATGTGATTGTATAAGATTAAGTAAAGCTTCACTTGGTGTACTTTTACCTTCAATAATACTTATTAATTCTAATGAACCACGAGAACGTATAAGAATAAGTAAAAGTGGAAATGCATCTTTTTCCATAGCAGATATACGTTGAGCATATTGAGGACCTATACATCGTTTAAATGTTTCTAATAATCTAAAAATAATTAAAATATATAGAAAAAAAAAACGAAATATCTTTTTTCTTTTGGTTTTCAATACCTTGTTCGGTTAGCATCTGTTGTTATGTCCCAAGCCCATACAACATAATTATTTGCTAAATATTCAACAGTTGCTTCACTAGCTAATACTTGAGCACAGAAGACATTGGCACAAACTGATCGATCATTATGAATATAAATAGCTAATGGACGTCTCTATTAATTAAATAACAATAGAAAAATAATATACCGACGTCCAATTTAAGAATCGAGTTTGAACTAGTCCAAATTTGAATAGAGCAAAAAGTTGAGAAGTTAATAATCAAGTTCGGCTCTGAAATCGTTGTTGGATTCAGAAGTTTTTATTTATAAGCTATAAGTGGAGCCGACTAGGTTGGTTTCGGATCAGAAAAATTTAAACCCAATGGGCTCTAATTATATTTCATGAATAAACAAGTTCTGAATCCAACAATGAGTTTAGAGCCATTTTTTATTTTTTAACTTTTTTGTTCTATCCAAGTTTGGATTAGTTCAAATTCGAATCTTCAATTTAACGCTGACTTATATATTAAAAAATCATAGAATATATGATTTACTTCATTTCTAGATGTAAACAGAGAATCTTGAATAGCTTGATCTAATGAGCCAATATAAAGAATTGGACCCGTCGAACCAAATCGTGCATGAAATACACGTGAAAAATGTTCAAGACCCGTTATATCATCTGTACACCGATCAGGAACTGTATAAATAAATGAAAATATTATTAGTAGTATTTTTATCTCATATAATTAGCTTACTCAATAACTCTCGATTTGATGTACTATTATTAACAGTTGTCGTACTTGAAAGTCGAGGTAGAGAATTAATATCATCATCAAAGTTTTCTAAATCAATTACATGATCGACATCCATTGTTTCATCTTCACTTGCATGTTTCATCAATGTTGAATTCTATTGTATAAAACAATAAATTCAAACCAAAAATACTTAGTTAATTAGAATTACTTTTACATCCGTTTTATTTATTGGTATTTTTTGATTTGTTGATGATTCGGTTTTACGTACAATAAGATGAGCTTTACAACGAATGGATGTTTGACATAATTGATCCTAAGAAGAAAATTGAATTACATATAAAGTCTTTTTTTAATTTTGGAATATTACTGTATCTTTTGCACCGAATAAACCAGTCCAGTTTTGTTGTCGAATTGGTAAATGAGCTACATGTTCAATTTCTTTTTTCATCTAAATATTAGAAATGTTTTATTTCGCTTGACACAAAGACACAAAACAAACTTCGCCAACTGTTGTTGTTGGTTTTAAAACAAGTTCATATGATGTTCGTTTGTCTGATTTATCTTCATATAGCACCGTTATTGGAAAATAAGAGCTTGCTGTCGTTGAGGCATTTTTTGGTGGTGTTGCTGGATGGCGATTAGTTCGACTAAATTTAAAGAAAAATTTCTTATAGACTTAGTTTTTTTTTTCGTACGTAGAGGTAGATGCAGTTGTTGTTGTTGTTGTTGATGATGATGATGTTCGAGTAGTTCCATTAGTCATTGGTGTTGCTGTTGCTATAAGATGTATAGTATTGTCTTTAGGTAAATTGAGATCTTTTAAGATTGTCTAAAACGTTTTATGAATGTCAGATATTTATTTTCAAAGAAATAATTGATGAAAAAGAAAAACTAATCTCGGGAAGAAAAGAATATAGGCTAGTTTATTACATCGATTAATTCGAAGTAGAAAAATGAGATACTTGATGAAAATAAATAATTGTTTGTTTAGAACTGAAGAAGGTTTGTTTTTATCAGAGTAATATCAAATTAAAAAAACAAGTAAAACATAATAAAAAATCTCCGAACATGTTTGTGCATGTTTTGAATAATAGAAAATTGAATATAAAAACTTATTTAACATTGTTTATAGTTAGAAATCAAATGTATAGCGCGAGATGGAATGTTTTTAATGTTCAGGATTGTCTAGATAAGTAGCATGATTAGGAAAAAAAATTGTACTCTGTTTAAGTTGAATTCAATCATCGACAAGAGAAAGGGCTGCCATCTCTTTAAACTCTGTTTGGTTTGCGCCATTAATCTAGCTTTCATCTTTGGAGAAATATAAAGTGACATTTTTTTTAACTAGTTATTTGTTTTTTTCTCCTAATACAGTAGAAATTTTCATGCAAAGAAAATTATTTCTCGATATGATTTTTATCAAACAACACATACTTGATCATCATAGTGCTTTGAAATCCAATTAGTAAACTGTTGTCGATTTAATGAAACGTGCAATTTCTCAGCAATTTTTAATTTTAACTGACCTAAAAAATATAAATATATATGCATAGAATTAATTTTTCAGATAAATCTTTTTCAAATACATACGAATACTTTCATTATCGAAAATTGTAATACGTTCTGTCTGATCCTTATATTCAATTTTAAAACGAAGTTCACGAACTAAAAATAAAATACTAATAAATATTTAATATGATCTCTAATTTCTTAGAATATCACAACTTAATATTTAAATGATGACCTGATATAGACTCAAGATAGGAAAACTTTTGCATACTGTCCGAACGAAACAAATGATTAATAATTTGTCATTTGAATGACCCATTGAATTATATTGATCAATTCAAACATCTAAGGATGCAACCAGCAACATTTTGCGTTCACTGTATCGTACAGCTGTGACAAAGTCAGAATTGAAATAGAAGACGAAACTCGAAAACTTCAAATCGGTATACCAACCTACCCTCGTTTTAAGACCACGAACGATGGGTAATGACTGAGAAAATGCAGCCTTGAATACGAGCAGCTGATATGAGAGCTTAACACTCCAAGAAATATTTCCTAGTTCGAACATAAGAGAATCTCTACAAATGAAGCCTCTATTTTTTCACACCGAACGATCACAACTTCAATGGTTGAGATATGTCTTCAAAATGCCACTTAAAAGAATTATTTACCAAATACTTGCAGTTTTACTGGTAGTAGAAAACAAAGGTCAATTGAACACCCACAAATCAACGCATACAAGTAAGTCGACAAACATTGTCCGAATCAAGTAGAACTTGAACCTGACTCGAGAAGACCAAGACAAAGAAAATAAATCAATAATTAGTCATTCGCTCTAATATTTTAAGACATTATTTCAATATGAATTTTTTAGAATTTTTTTTTGATGATTTCACTTTTAATTATGTGAACAATAATGAATTCATTTAATATGATTTTCAAAAACTTCATAATTAATTAATATCTGATTAGAAATTTTTCTATAAAAACAAAATATATCAAACCTGCTCCTTGATTTATCGTTCCACTTGTTCCTTTGTTTGTTCTTGGACCACCTGGTAAAATTTTAACAAAACTTATATCATCTGCATCATTATCATCCGAATCTGAACAACGTTTATGATTGCTACTAATATGATTCGGTTTTTTCACTACTGATGATGATTTTGTAGTTGTTGAACGATGAGATGTTGTTGTTGTTGTTGTTGTTGTTGAATGCTTAGGTACTGTTGATTCAATAGGAGTATCGTTTCCACTTCCAAGTCGGTCATGCACTGCCTGTACAGCATTCTATTTTATTTAATAAAAATAAAAATTAGTTTAAAATAAACATTCTTTTTAATGTTCATTCAAATTTTATTTACCAGTAAATTCCATTGATATTGTTCAAGAATAGTAATACATTCTTCTTCATTTTCCAAACCTGTACATTCCTGTAAAAGATTTATTAATATGAATTAAAACAATAATACTTAGTTAATGATAAAAAAAAAATTACCATAAAATCAGCCAGAATTTGTTCACGTGTTTCACTACTCATATTCAAATTTATAAGAAAAATAATAAAAATTAATGAATCTTAAAAAAAAAAGATAAATTTATGTATTCATTATTGAATATTCGCAAAATAAAAAAAAAAAGTCAAAGTTAGTTTATGAAAGAAAAAACAAATGGTTAGCAAAAAAATATTACGACATGAATAGATATAAATATGTATAAAAATAGTGTCAGTTAGAAAATAATAAAATATATGTTATGGAAATTTTGGTGCTGGACGTTCAACAGTTGGTGTTGGTTCATCATCTTCATCATCAGCATCATCATCAGAATCCATATGAAGTCGGTCCAATGCACGCATCATATCTTCTCTAGTTGGTGGATGACTGGAAAACATTTCATGTGGATCGAATTTCATATCTATATCACCACTTAATAATCGAGAATATTTAGAATGACGTGCATATGGATTCTCTTTGTTGTTGTCATGAGAAAACATTGATACTGAACGAAGATATTCACGATCATGAGAATGTTTTGATCGATGATGAATATGACGAGATTGAAATAAATTTTGTAATGTTTGTTGTTTTGCTTCTTCCTACGAATAAAAATGAGTAATAAGTAGCTTTTTCTTTGTGTTTGTTTGATAGTTTCAAACAAAAAGAAATGAAAAAAAAAACAAAACTTTACTTTCGCTTTTTCATATCGTTGTTCACTTGAATAAAATTTATCTTTGAATTGTGTTAAACATGACAGAAATTCGTCAACACTAAATTTTTTATTTGAACCTTCGATTAAACGACAAAATAAATATTCACCATCTGTTTCACGACAAACACCAATCAATAATGGAAATTGATCAATTAAACTCGCATTGAATTGTTTTTCATTGGTCCATGGTCGAAAAATAGCGCTGCATACGTCGTTTAACCTTATAAAAGGCAAAAACGATATTTTAACCCGATGAAATCAATAAAAAGTTTTTATTTTTTTCTATAATAAAAAAGAAAAGAATGTAACTATTCTTCCATGAACATGAGTCTTCAATGTTATTCAACATAATTTCTATATGTCCATTATTTTTTTTCGTTTTCTATTTTCTCAAACTAACAAATTTCAGAACTACTTATCAATCTGTAGTTCTCGATAGAGAGTCGAGATGACATACTGAATTTGTCCTATCTATTAATCAACACACCTATATCGACACAGTTGTCATAAGCTTTGCTACTACTGTGTGAAAAGCACATTAACTTCAAGTCTTTTGCGTAATAGTTTGAGTACAGATAGAATTCAGTAAAGACTGATTTCAAGCAACAACCAGAAGGCAATTGGCTTTAATACAAGGAATTTACGATAAAAATGCTGATTTTTTCCCTATATCCCATACAAAGTCTTTTTGACGCTTTTCTCGTTTCTTCCTATTTAAATGTATTAGTCTTCATTTTCTTACTAAAGAATAGAGATTTGCATGTCTAGATTTTGCTGCGAATAGAGTACTTCAATTCGTTGTAATCTTGAACTGAAATGATCTCAGCATAGATCTCTTCTCTATCAGCGGCTACTATCATGAAATTTTGAGAGGCATTTGATAAGAGCAGACATTCCATGGAGAAAATTTCAAGGATAATAATTAAAGTTAGCTGGAGATATAGCTCAGTTTTTGATGATTCCCATCAAATTTCATGTAGAGATTATCCAAATATTATTTCATAAATCAGACACACTAAAACTGTTTGTCATGGAATTTTCATTAGTAAAGGAGCAATGCTGAGCTATCGAATGAGGGATGGATCTAACGTCATGAGATTTGTTTTCTATATTGAGATATTCTTGTCTGAAGAATAAAAAAAAAACTATTTTGACCTTCTTGTTTCTCTGTATGAAGGTCAATTAAATGCTGATTAGTCTCTTTGATAAGAGTTCAACATGCTCTACTTGTAATCAAACTATGAAACTAAGATATTAAAGTTTAGGTACTTTTTACCGCGTAGCAGAACTTTGCGCAACTACTGTATATTACTTTATTATTATGATAAACGAGAGTTAAATACCTCAGTCATGCTAACCTATAGTCAGCTGATGTCGAGATTCCAACATGATTCCATACAATTCATAATTTCATCATGATTCTTTACTTGTTTAAGTGGGATGAACATTGTTAACATATCTATCAAGAATCTCCGAAGTCTAGCCACATGTCTTTTATCAAATAATAAAAGGTTTTCGAAAGATTTTATTCGTTTGTGTCTTACATAATATTTAGAAAATCTTCTCTATAAGTCTGAAACATATTTCTTATGTGAATGTAAATTTCTATTTCCTGCATGTTTTCTATTAATGGACATGACTGTAAAGATTATAGTTTTACTTATGGAATTAGAAATATCGAAACATTAAAAATAAAAATTTTTCTTCTTACTAAAAAACAAAAAACTATTGTGAATTCAACATAATATTTCTTTTTTTTAATCTATGATGAAACAGATTGTTATCATAATGTCTTGTAATTAAATACTAAATAAATTTTAATAAATGTTTGTAAATTCAAATTAATCGTGATACTTATAATTTTACTGTTTTTTTGATAATCGAAAACAAAATGTGACTAACAAAGAATACACCTGATTATTGTTGATTTTATGTATCATTGATGACAAGGAGAAAAATACTGAATAGAAAAAAAAAAGAAAATATGTATAATTGAACTCATCAGACAACTTGGTAAAATAAACAATTTTTCAAACTTTCAAGGATACTCTTTTCCTTCCTTCCTTCCGTTTCTAATTTTAAATACGCATCTTAGAAGATAGAATTCTGTTTATCTAAGCATATGAGGGATGTGTAAAAATATTTTTGTAATAATGTACCTCTGTGATCTCGTTTAGAGAAAAAAGAAACAAATTTTTAAGACAAATCAAAAAATTTCGTTAAAAAAATGTAGATGTGCCATGGATAATCTTTAGAAAAATTTTTGAAAATTGTTTTCAAAAGTTTTCAGAACATTCTTTAATGCCTTCATAGATAATCAATCACAAAAGTAGAAGATATTCAGAAAATTTTTTTCGTATATCAAAACTCTTCACTGTCCATTTCGATGAAAAAGATTTTTAAATTGAATGTAAAAATCGTGATGTCGAAGTCAAATTACTGTAAACCATGATAGCTGTAACAGACAGAGATTTATAAGCTTGTGAGTATTTTGACCGAGCTTAAAATCATTTTTACATTAAATTTATTAAACTTTTTAATCAAAAATGTTCGGTGAAGAATGTTCTAGGAACTTGGGCAGACAAAAAAGAAAAGATTTTTGAAGATCTTGTATCTACAGAAATGCGAAACTATATTTAAAAAAAAAAGAAAAATATTCATAACTTTTATCTCATATCGTCACCATCAACATAAATAGTTACAAAAAGAAAAAGAAAAACCACCGATAGGGATAAAATCCATGGAAAAGACGCCACCTCCTTCACTTGTTTTTTTGCTCTGCATTATATCGTTGTGTGTCACACCTGGAGAAAAACCTTTTTTTCATATTGTATACAATCAAAGTAAAAAAACTTTGAGTCATTTTTTTTTCTTTTTAATACGATACTTTTGTACAATCTATATCTTATCGGATTTCAAGTTTATGATGATTACTTTTGTAAAGAAGAACGCTTTTTCTCTTCTTCTTTTTCTTACTTTTGTTCGTTTGATTTAAATGTAATATCCCATGCCCAAAGAACATAATTATTCAGTAAATAATCAATAACCTTCTCATTACATAAAATTTGTTTACAAAATAAATTTGTATAAACACTTTTGTCATTATTCACATAGATCAGAAATGGACGACGCTAATAATAATTAAATAAAGACAAAAAAGAGAAACAAACTGAAAGCGAGTAAAACGTTTTGTTTTACTTCATTGATGTCTTTCGGACTCAACGCTTCTATTAAAGCTTGTCGTAATGAACCCATAAAAACGACTGGATATGCATGAAACCGATAATCGAGACATTTAACTAGATGCTCAATGCCTGCTAATTCATCCTTACATTGATCAGGAACTATGCAAAAAAAAATTATTTCAATCGTAAAAAGAAATAGTTTTTTCTCTTACTCAAATGATCTTCAAATTCTGGTGGTGCATCCATGAGTTCATTATAAAATTCATCATCAGTTGTCACATTACTTTTATCACTTGCACGAATAGCATCACTTTTCTCAGCATCCGATGAATACTTTAAAGAAAAATATGGAATAAATATTTCCAAAATATTTTTTCTATAATCACCATCGATTGATTGTTTTTTGTTGCTTTTTCTTGACGACTGTATCTAGAAAAAAATCATGACTGATTACAATACATCAATAAAGATGTGTTAAATGTTTTGTTTGTTTTTAACTCTATCCATAAATCATATAAATGAAAAAAGAAAAAAAACAGAATAAAGGAAAAAACAACAACGACATTCAAAAATAACGACAAGACGTGTATGTTTCTTTTTCTTCTTATTAACAACGTAAAAGAAAGGAAAAGAAATCAGCTACATTAAAGTATACACTGTGTTTTTGTTCGGGAAGGAGGTTTTATTCGAAAGTAACCACAAGTTCTTCTTTATGAACAATTTTTATTTCATCAATTAATAAACGTGATAATTCATTGGCTGTATGTGCAACGAAATGACATAAATCGGATGATATTGGTCGACTTGAAAGTAATGATGATAAATTTGACGTACCAGCATCTGGTAAAACTGATACTCGAGGTGATTGTAATGATTTACACAAAATTTGTCTTAAATGATCATTGTGTGCATTTGAATTTTGTGTATTTATATTTGTTTGATGTGTACCACCACCCCAACCGCCAACATCAATTAAATCAGGTAGCATACGTTCAACAATTATAGCCATTGATGATTCAGCTGTGTCATTTGATGAAAATTTTGCTGAAAACAAAGAATAGTTTTTTTGTTAAAATTCTTATTAAATAATACTAAAATGAATTATTCGATTTATAAAAAACAATTCGTTTTTCTTACGGACAAACATTCTCAAGTGATCCGTTCTGATTGTCTGCATAATTTGCCAATATGTAGGAGATCACTAGAGCAACATAACCTCTAAAGGCTTTCTACTCATATTTAGATTTAGTCGATTGAACGACTCTTACAGGTATATAAAATGTCAAATTGAAATTTCCGAATACTTTTTTTTGTTTCGGAAGCTGGACTCCTGCAGGAAAATTCTCGTCGCTATCTTAAGCAAATCTAAGCACGAACAAAAAGCCTTTGAAAGTTATACTACTCTAGTGATTGTCTTCGTATTGGCAATATATGTAAATAAAAGGAGTGGATCATTTGTGAATATTCTCTCGTTAAAACAAGAATCAATCAATAATGGAATTTACATATATTACAGGCAAAACTTGAATTTCAAGAAAGATAAATTTATGAAACCAAAAAAAAATCTAAATCTGAATAGAATAAAAATTGTTTTTTTTTTTTGTTCAATAAGATCCTTTTTATTTCATTAAACAATTTACAAAATAAAGTATTTTAATCTATTTACCCATATTTGTACAACCAACTCATTTTAAATGAGTTTTTGTCAAAAAAAAAATATTCCATTTTTTTTTATACGAACATTGCTTTGTAGCGCACTTGTCTTGACAATTACATATGCGACCGGTTGTTGAATGTGATGTAGATATTTTTTTATTAGATTGTAACGTGTACATCTATATATGTGTTGCACTTATCGATAAGACTGTTACGATTACAGTTTTCTCTCTCTATTGTTTTATTTCATTCATTCTACCTTTAGTGATGATATGTCTCCGGCGGACCTGGTGAATTTATTTGTCTACACTCACGTATGTAGTAGGAAATTTTAGGAGACATATTGTTTACATGAAAACTTCTTAATGTCATAAATCAGTTAATAAAATTTTTCTTTCGTAGTAATCAAGATACGAAGTCCATTCTCAAATTTCATGATTGTTTTCTCAATAGAAAACAATCCAACTGATTTTTATTGATATCTTTTCACTATTGAATAGATCTTTCTGTTGACATGCATATGTCCTTGGTTAAATTTTGTTTTTACTTTATTATGTCCTTCAAATGTAAGCAATATTAGAACATTTCGTCTGCTAGCACGGCTACTTTGATTAGCCGGTGTTTTTTTTCTTCATACACATCACTAACTATTTGCCACAAGCTGAAACAGAACTGCCGAAGGCAAAGCAACAAGTTAAAAAAACCTCATTATTCTGCTAATCCTCAATCTAACTCTTCACTTCACTCCGAGTGGTTTTACTATGATTCGAAGCAATTAGTGCTAAGTGCATAATATTTGACATGAAAACTTATAAGCTTTGTCTCAATTATGATAAATCGTTTCTCGAATGATCAAATATCAAGACTATCAATATTATTCAATAAGTGATCAAATGAATTCAATTTTTATTCATAACATGACTTTTAATCTGAAGTAGAGTTATTTTTCTCTGAAATTTTTTTTTAATATATAGTTTTAATAATATTATTTACTTTATTTTCATGGTAGAAAAAATTTTTTGTTTTACCGACATATTCGACACCTTTGGTGTCAAGTCAATATTAGGATTCCAATTTTGCTGACAACATATATTTCAATGAGGTATTGTTTATTATTTTCTGTACGTTTTTAACATTATGATATAATTTACTGTTTATACATCATGAGATTATTATCATAATGATTTAAGATGAAAGATTTCTATTAAGAAATATTTTCAATAATATTAAATCAATCATGATCTTTTTTGTTGTAACATTCTATTCGAATGAATTAAATCTATTTAGATAATTGATAAAAAAATACTCATCATATTCATAGAATAAATACATAAATATCAATATATTTCATGTCTATTTTTGTGGAAAATAAGAATATACATTACTCATGAACATGTTTATTTTTTTTCTAAGCATATATTTAGACTAAGCTCAGCATCGGACACCAGAAACTCTATTACATTCTTCTCTTATGTAGCATTTATTTTTGACACTAGTAATATCCAGTAAACGAAAACTGTCAATCTAATAGCTTAAATAACATGACATAGAGAAACATTTACACTAGATTAACGTTCATTTGTGATCATTACGAAAACAATTAACATCATATAATATCTTCACTTTCATCCTTAGATATATTTTCATCATCTTCGCGTAATCTTAAATTATTTAATATTTTCGAAAGCGTAAGCTGTTGCTAATTTACGTGTAATAAATTTTTTGGAATCGTAATGGAAAACAGTGTGACTACGTGTGTCTCTAATTGAGACTAAATAAAATAGACATCAAAAGAAGAATTATTATTGTCTATTTTGACATATCTCAATGATAAGAATTAATGTTAACTGTGAAAATATGTAGAATAGCATATTTAGAAGGATTTCTATATTAATTCATTATGCTGTCAAATCTCTAGTATGACTCTATTCGATTTTCAAAGATTCTATTTATGTTTTATACAAAAAATAAATCGAAATCTAAATGAGAAAAATCTTAGTATTTTACTTGTTGTATCAGTTTGATTATCATTTAATAATGGTGGTGGCAGTGGTGGAACAATTGTTGTTAACAGTGACGATGGTTCAATATGAGTTGATGAACTAAGAAGAGCTGGTATCACTGGCTGATGATATTGATTATGACTACCCGATTTGGTTAATAATCTACGAAGATAATAATTAATGAAAAAAATTAGATTGAATTTTTCGTTTTAAATTATTAAATAACGAACGGTGTCCGATCATTGACATCCGATGATATTACAGAACGTTGTGAATTTGATAATATTGAATCACCACCAAGGTTATCGTTTGATTGTGAATCTTCTGAATTTCTACAACACCATGGACAAATATTGCCCATTGTGAATCGTAGTTGATAAAATCAAAAAACAAAAATAATTAATATGATTGATAATCAAAAATAAAAAACAACAAAAAAAAATATGGTATATAAAAAAAGAAAACAATAATAAAAGCAAATTTGTAAGGTACATATATAACCAAATAGGTGACAGAGTAATAGTCATATAGCTGTTTATTCCGCATTATACCATATTTAAAAATCTTTAGATAAAAAAAAATGAAACGCAGGAACATGAAAGATGTCAGTAGTTCTCCAATTGTCTCATGTTGGTTTGTTCAATTGTGCACTACGTAAAACAAACAGTAGAGGATTATCCAAGAACTGAGAAATATGAATTCTTTCTCAGCTTCATAACATGTACAATGAAAAACACAAATACAATATTCATAAAATGTTCTATTCTCACATCCATATCGTGAAGGAATGTGTGAAGTTGAATGTGTCATTGTGCATACTTTTAAAGAAAATACATTACTTTTTATCAATGGTAAAACTGTAAGAATGCTGATGATCAATTCGCAATTCTTTGAAGGAATCATGATGTTTTTTTTAGAGAGGAGTACAATTTTTTTCTAATAGAATATAAGAAAAATATTTACTATCATTGAAAGAAAAAAACAAATATTTTCTGTGATTGCGAGAGTGGGGGTGTGGTTTGCAGCTGTGATATCTTCTCGATCAAGTTAACATTTCGTCAAGAAAATTCTCATAGTTCTGTTGACAATTCATTGACAGTTTATGAACTCCTATGTCTCAATTATTGAGTGTATACAGAATTCGATCACATGACATCAAAGTTAAGTGGATATATGGAGATATATTTCATTGAAATAGTTTTATCATATCATATACGTAAATATCCTAACACATGCCGGTTTTATGTGTCATTAGTATTGAGTGTTCTTTGTCTTTATTATACGTTCGCTATGACTCAATTTTCATCTGATGCATATCAGCGTTCGAGTCAGATGGAATGTTTCAATGAGTCAAGCACTTTTTGTGGCGTATATTTCTATTTTTGACAGAAATATAAAGTTTTTTTTTAGAAGATTTTCTAATCTATTATGAGTAGTTTTGTTTTTTTTGCTAGCATAATTCTAAATATTCTTCAAAATCTTTAATAGAAAAAAAGAATCGATAATCTTTTATGAAAACATTTTCAGGCTGTTCGAGAAATATTATGACTTCTAGGGAAATTCGTTCATGGTGGAAGACCATAGGTCTTTCTTTTATACATCAGTATTAAAAACGTAATATTCTTTATTCAATATGATACTAACGATAAAGATTAAATGAATCTGAGATTTCAAACTTGTTTATTCTATTAAAATGTCGCTTACATTTTAAATAGATTTTTTGAAATTATACGATCCTTCAATCTATAGTTCATTATCTATGATCTTTTTATTGAATACTTTTTAATTATTAATTGCTATAATAGATTCAATATGCTAATCAGAAAGCAACACTTTCTATAAAGAACGACATCTGTTCTATATGTCACATATACATTAAAAATCTAGAGGTATCATCGTGACATTTAAATCCATAATGGTGATTATAAATGTAATTCTAAACGTATTTGATTTTAAAAATTAGTGTAAACTAATATGTCGTATCGTCCATCATCTGCTCATCGTCAACAAACGAGCATTAATCCAATAACAGGAGAAAAAATTGATTACAGTAAAAAGGCTCATTTTATAAAAGATCAAACTACACCAATGTATGTCAATTTATTTAAATCTTCGTTTTTTTTATTCAATGATTAATATCTATTTTTTCATATAGAATTCCATCATTAGATCTTAGCAATGTAAATGATAGTGATCGACAACCACCACATTCAGCTAAACAATATCATGGATCTGCAAGGTAATATATACAAGGAAATATTATATATAAAATAATTCGTTTTATATTCTCTTCTTTAGACCAGGATCTGCACATGGTGGTGTCAATGCTCGGTTAGGTTCACATCGCCCAGAAAGTCGAGCTTACGGAAATTTTGATCATCAACAAGCGATTTATACGAATCGTCATGGAAATTTACTGGTATTGAATACAATTCTTTTTTTTTTTCTTTATAAACAATGATTTAATACTAAAACAAATAACGCACCCTTTAACTTGAACTGATAGAAATTTGCTGATTTGTTCCCTTTTTTTTAAGCAAAATACCCATTATGATCTAAATCCTGATCGTGTACCTGCAATGGATATTCAAATTGTACCACCACCACCACTACCACGACCTGTATCATCTCGTACTCAACGAGCTTTATCAACTCGTTTACCTGATTCAGTTCGACCAGCAATAATACTTGATGGAAATTCTGCATTAACTCCTCGAGGACCATTTATATCATCAGTAAATTCTCCAATTGATGAATTTCAATTAGCTTGGTTAGAAAGTGGAAATCATCAAGATTCTTTAACAAAAGTAGCTGCTGAAGAAAAAAATGAACAACGAAAACATGAATTAATGACTGAACAAGTTTTATCTGATCAATTATCTCGTTATGTATTAAGTGATCTTGAACAAGAAGATGATCGTCATAAACCAATCATTATTCAACAACAACCAAGACGAAATCTTGATAGACGGATGCATGATACAAAGTATTTAATTAAACAAAAAGGAAAAAATTTTTTTTTAACTCATTAGTATTTATTTCTAGAGTTAAAACAAGTACATCATTAACAGAAAATTTACTTAGTAAACGTATACGTTTTTCATGTCGAATTTTAACAAGGTTAGAAAACGCAAATATATCTTCTTATTTTGTTTTTTTTTTTGTATTTATTTTTTATTTTATAGAGATGGAAAAGATGCATTAAGAGATTTATTTGGTTTTTATTTTATGCTTGATAGAACATTAGCTATTTATGAATATCGAATTTTAGGAAAACGGTATATATATATTACTCTTCAAATTACTTCTATATAGATAGAGTGATTCTTACATAATTCTACGACCCAAAATTTCTATAACTCTAGTTTGTTTTAATCAATCGAACTTGTTTTTTTCTCGATTATAAATGACTCGTCAAAAATTTTATTTATAAAGAAACTGTTTTGAATTAGTACTATCAATCAACAGTATCGCAATCATTCTTTTGGTTAGACATACAAAATTTTTAGTATACATATTACTTTAGAAATCCACTTAGGGTGTACCGAAAATTCGTGTCCCGCTATTTAAAGGGCCTCATCGGATGGGTGAACCGATTCAGAAATAAGAAACAAATATTTCATCTTGTAGAGCTTTTCGAGCCGCATCGAATGGTATATAGTAAATTCTGTTTTCATAGAACTTTGAAGGACCTAGAAACAATTTACTGATGGACGACTACACATTCACACCCATCCACACTCACGTCTACATTCACAAGATGACCAGAGATGGTACGTATATGAGGTTGTAGCCCGTCAAAACCTCTACAAAGTTGCATGCGAGAAACAATATTTTACAAATGCTTTCAATTAATAACAAGAACCACAATAATCATTAACTTATGGTCCTCGGGTATGGATGCCGATATGGATGGATGTGAATGTGTAGCCATCTATCAGCAAATTGTCTCTAGGTTCTTCAAAGTTCTATGAAAACACGATTTACTATATACCATTCTATCCGGTTCGAAAAGCTCTACAAGATGATATGTTTGTTTCTTATTTCTGAATCGGTTCACCCCATCCGACGAGGACCTTTAAATAGCGGGACACGAACTTTTGGTACGCCCTAAGTAGATCAGTAAGACTGATCCGATTTCGTTCGCTTGAGTTGAAGAAGAATTATGATTTCTGGCAGCTCTATTTACTATGAATCCTGTAATTCAAGAATGAAAGAAACTAATGATTCGACAAACCTATCATTAAGTAGTCCCTTGATGTAGATACTTATGTTCTAAATTTCATTGAGTTTCATCTAAACATTCGCAAGCTGCTAACATTTTACATAACGATAGACTTATCAGGTCGTAAGTTCTTTTCCATTTTCACTTGTACACAGAACTTATTTTGGGAAGTGTTACCATAAATTATAAGTTCTCTTCAACTTAACTGATTGAGATTGAGTTGGTTTCATTGGCCTACATTTCTGAAACAGTACATACTATAAAAATTTGAGCGGTATGTAGTCTTAACAACAGCTGAGATACTTTTTGAACAGTAGTGTATGTCTTTATTGAGGTTAATAATGTTAATTCAAAACAGTTTTCTTATGAATAAAAACTTTGACTAGTTCTCTATCACTCAGACAACAAGATCAACTTGATTGGTTAAAATACACTGAAGATATTGACTGTTTTTTATGATCTAGTTATTTATTCGTCATTCTGCATATGATTTTTTTTATTATAGTTCAAATGCATTACCATTAATACCTCGTGGTCAATATGTTCATTTATCAGGTTACAATCAAGGACAACCATATACTCTACTTGATTTCTATCAAGTATATTTAAAAAAAAAAGAAAGAAAACTTATCTTTACTTTTATTTCTATATTTAAATATGATTAGGAAGCTCGTATTGATTTTGAAACACGAACAATAATGTCTTTACCGGAAACTGTTTGTCATCGAACAAAATTAACAATATGTATTGTTTCAATAAATGAAGAAGAAAAACAAACATTATTGTATATATTTTCTTTTTCGAAAATCTATTTCGAAAATTTAATTATTTTTTTTTGTTGTTTATTCTAGACTTGATGGTATACAAGATATGAAACGTCGAGAAATTGTCTATGCTATAAAACATCCATATAGTACAGAACAACTTGAACATCAAAGATATTTAGCTGATGTTCATCAATTAAGTATACCACAAATAAAACAACGAGCAGTGATTGTTTATACAAGTTTAGCTCAATTTTATCGTAAACGAGCTAATATGAATTATAATGAAGAAAAAGATTCAATTTGTATATGCGAAAAAGAAGATTTATTATCTGGATTACATGAATATAGAATACATTTAAGTGCTGGAGTAAGTTTAATAAAGAATAAATTAAAGTAGTTTTATTTTTAAACTTTATTTTAATAGCATTTTGCTTATATTTGGTCTCATATGTCCATTCAAGGTGAAGCCAATGAATTTCTTAATTTACTTTTTGGTGAACTTAATGAAAAACGTTTTGCACAAGTTATAAAAGTATAATTAAAAGAAATATATGATACAGATATATGTAATATTCTTTTGTCTTTAGGCTTATTCGAAATTAGATCCATTGAAAACAGGTTATACAGATATGGATTCAATGAAAAAATTTGTTAATCTTTATGGACATCCATATGCAATTCAAAGTAAATTAAAAGACTTTAAAAGAATAGAATAAATGATTGAATTTTCTTTTTTTTTTTATTATAATTTAGATTGTTTGTCTGATGAAAAATTATGGACACGTTTTTGTGATACATTTCGTTTTGCTTTACATTATCCACGTGTATCATATTCAGAATTTCTTAATGTTTATGAAGGACTTAATCTTTCTGTTGATCAAGATGATGATTTTATTCATCTGGTTAATAATACATGGAATATTTAAAACTTGTCTTACATGTTTTAATTGTTAGTAATTGTTTTTTTTGGGTGTATTTGTATGTGATTTGTTGTACACAATAAAATGGATACAACGGTAGCAGTGATCATTTTAGAATATTATAAATCTATTACGAGAAATTTTTTTGCCGAAGAATATTGTGGATCACATTTCTTGGTAGGATTTTGAGTTCATTTTGAAAACTATAAATTCTAACAACAGAAATTTGTACTATACAGACTACTTGATTATCGAGTGCATGATTTACTATTCGTTGATCATATGAAAAAATATATTCAATGTGACGTTCAAATGTATTGTCAGAATTACAACCTGGATAAGTTTTTCAAACGTAATAGAACACCACATACTATTAATTATTTAGAAGGTCAACATTCTCGAATGACAAAAATACACGTAAATTCTCCGGATTCAAATATTTACTTTGTGACTGATTTACTGCAAAAATAACAATCTTTAGCATTATTGCAAAATACGAAATGATATGGAAACTCAAATTCCAAAACATCAGAAACATAAAGTTATGACAGATGAATGTTTCATGAAATAATTATGTTAACATTATGATAAAGGTCGTATTGATATTCTAACGGTCTTGAAAACTACTGGATTGAGATATTTTCAACGTTCATCAAAAAAAACTTAAACAACAATCTCTTTGTTTTTCTGTTATGACAATATATTGATTGTCGCAATCTCTACTCATTTGGTTTATATCTCTTCTTCAAAATAATCAACAATAAAAGAAGAATGCATATTTTTGGACTAACTTTTGATAGGAACTAGATAAAGATCTGCAGTTTTCACTGTTTAAAAAATGACATAAAAACTACATCAAATGGTATATGTCAGAGTTTTCTCAAGATTTATCATCAAGTTTATTAAACACAAAACATGGTGTAATGTAAAAGTTTTCGAATTTTAATTTTTAGGAATTCCCTAGGATCATTAAGTAAAGATCTATAAATTATATAAGTTCAATGTTGTAAGGTTTAACCAATCATGAGTTATTAACATTGTAATATGTGTTATCGGCAGATTTCTCCGAAAAAACTGACTTTTTTTCTGATTTTTTGACGAAAAATCCACCTTATGAACATGTTCAAAAAAGCCTTGATTTTTAAAAAACTTGACGAGAAACCCGAAAAAAGCTTGTCAAAAAACACTGATATGCACGATTCTATGCAGTTTCATCTGTTCCTTTTAAATGATGAAAACTGCAGATCTCGATGTCGTTCCTATCAACAATTATTCCAAAAATATTCATCTTTCTTTTATTTTGAAATGAATAATAATTATTAAATTAATTTAAGACAAAGGACTTTTTCAATAGCTTCTATTGAACAGTTGTACTCGTATCATTCAAACGTGTATCTGAATCATACCTGATTGGTATGTACGAGAAAATATTTTCAAATTTCACTTTGCTTCTTAGTCGAGAATCAGTGAAGTATTTCTACTATAAAACCAGTTCATGGTTATAGCCTGTTTCTTGAGAGATCGAATATTTTTAGTGATTTTTTTTTGTTCTAGAGCTCTACATTAACGGTAAAAATAAACTTCGTTTCAGCTGATAAGCGGTTTTAAATCTGGGAAGATTTTCTTCATTAGTTGAAACATTTTAAGACCTTCTATGCAAACTAATTAGTTTAATGGAAATCTTTATCTAGGTAAAATTCAAAACTATGCTTATAGTGCAAATGTGAAGTCGTAAAATTGAAATTCACGAAAAACATTAAATCTTTTCAAAAGTACGTTATATCGACAAAATTTTTATGAAAGTAAATATGATTCATTAGGTCTCGATTGAAAAAGAGAGATGATACCTGGAAATGTCTACGCATTACCTTGCCTCATAAATAAACGTGTGTCATTTTCTTTTTCTTTTTGATTATTCATAAAAATATTTCACGCTTGATAAACATGATAATGTCAATGCAAACCATATTCATCGTGTATAGAAGAAAAATATATGTGTGTGATAATTTTTTAAAGCCATATCTTTTACGAGAGATTTTTTACAAAACAAGAAAAAAACATAATGATTATTATTAATGTTGAGTGAAAAAATTTCTTATTTTTTTCCAAAATTTATAAATTAAGTTATTCAGACTTTTTATTAGATATGCTCAGTGTTATTACAGGTATATAGATATAGTAGACATTACCAAAGAGAAAACATTCCCTGAGTGTTTCTATTAGGTATGCTATTATAATAAAGAGGATCACAAGAATAATTTTATATCTTGAACAGTATTACGCTTGTAGTAAAAATTGGCTTTGTTAAACCTAGACATGTACATGATGAAGATTCATTTACTTTAAAAACAACAATTTACTTTATTCAACATTTTGATAAAAAGATTAAGACGTTCTAATTATTTTATAAGTCATCTATAGATTAAAAAAAGTGAATATATTATTTCTAGATATAGTATGAGTAAAAAAGAAAATGAAAGTCAAAAATTTACTTTATTTATTGATAAATTATAATTGATGAAAAAGAAAAAACAAATAATCATAATAGCTTAAACTTTGATCTATTCAATTGTTAATCTATCAAATATCAAAAAATTTTAAAAAAATATCGATCTAAGAATAAATGAAAGTTAATATTCAGTCCTATGCTTTTATGTTTCCAAATTTGATTTGATCGTAAATGATTGTTCTAATCTTTTCTAATTCTTGGATTTTGCTGAATCTACTTTTGGTTCATCAGATTTTTTTCCACACTTGCATCGTTCATCACGAGGCACATCTTTTAATGCTTGTTCAATATGTTGACCACAACCTTTCCATGTTGGTTTACCACATTTATCACAAACCGTTTTCATACACATATTGGTAGTTTTTTTTTTGTTAATGGTAAACGATCCAGAAAAAATGATTGAATTGATCGTTGTACAGAGACGCTTTATAGGACGCAACGTATGATAGAAAGTAATAAAAAAAAGCCCTTTTCTTCACCCTTTCGATTACAAAGGTTACAATGAAAAGCCTTGTGCCCAGAATTGAAGTATGAATATTATTGGATAGAAAGAAAAACAAGATAAAGAAAAATAACCTTGTAAATATGAATGATATATGCTAAAAGTTCGAATGAAATTCTCGCGCGTTTCTATCATTTATTAAAAACATAAAATATATGACAAGAATAAATCTTCAAATAAGTCAATATGAAAATTTATCAAATATTCGTCGTTGGCAAATTCATGCTGGTTCAAATCATTTTTGTTTTAATGGACATTGTATCACTGGAAGAAATCTTTCTGGTGCAATCATTGTTATTGGTCTTATTTCTTTAACATGTCTACTTTGGTTAATTTTTGAATTACCTATTCTTATGAAAGAATTTAATAATACTAGTCTATTAATTCTTATTGTTGGTCTTCTTTTAATTTTTTATACATATAGTGAGAAGAGAAACATACAAAACAAAGCAATCGAATTTTCTATTTTCTAGTTTATTTTTTTCGTGCAATGTGTACTGATCCAGGTATCATACAACGTTCAACATCTATTGAACGTTTAGTTTTAAGAAACAAATTAAATTTAAATCAAATGTCATCTGATTATTTAAATAATTTAACATATGATATTAAAATAAATGGTATTTTAGTTAAATGTAAATATTGTATAACATGTCAAATGATTCGACCACCACGTTCTTCGCATTGTGCTATTTGTTCAAATTGTATATCTATACTTGATCATCATTGTCCATTTTTAAGTACATGTATTGGAATGAGAAATTATCGGTTTTTTTTCTTATTTCTTATTTGTTTATTACAAACAGAACTTTTTTTATTTGCAACAAGTTTAATCAAAGTATTTTTTGGCATGTTTATTGAGAAAAAGAAAGCCAGATTTTTTTTCTAAATGTTAGATTTTACTCTATATGCACGATGGAATATTGTCACAATCAATTATATCAACAATTCCATCGTATTTTATTTTAATTATAACTGGTTCTAGTGCTCTTTATACATGTAATTTATTAGGATATCAATGTATGATATCAAGTCGTGGTTTAACAACTCGTGAAGATGATAAAGGAATTTATATTAATGAAAATCCATTTAATACACATTCTTGCTTTAATAATCTAGCAAAAAAATTATGTACATCATTATCTCCTAGTGCTTGTAAGTATACGAAAGAGAAAATTGTAATTAGAAACTATGTTGTTCTTAGATGGTGCACATCGTTTAGTTAATCAAACAAAATATCACTTTATGAAAGAAAATATTTAATGACATAGAAGAAAAATATATAAACAACAATATGCATGTCTAATTATCCATACAATTTCATTAGAATCAATCTAAATCAGGTATATCAGCAAAAGAAAAATTTTTATCACCTTTCCATGCCCAATAGGCAATACGTATATGATAAAAACCAGGAAGAAAAACAAGTAAACCAATCAATATTAATGGCCATGAACGATCAGTATGCTTTAAAAAAAATCAATCAGCAATAATCAGAAAGAACAAAGTAAAACAGAAAACAAATACGAACTTGTGTTTGAATATAACCAGTCAATATTAATGAACCTAATGTAATCATTAGAGAACCAAGAAGAAAAAGGACAGTTGCTAAAATAATACCATATATTGGAATTTTAGCTGTTGGTTCTTGAAACTAAAATTAATGAAGTAATAAGTTTAATATTTTAAATTCAAGAATTTCTATTAAAATCGCTTAGATTAAAATACATCTCAAAAGGAAGTTTTTAATTAAAAATAATCAATATTATCAAAAAGAAGTAGACACAAGATATTAACGATGTAAATCAATAACAATTCTCTTAAATGTATAAGTAGAATATACTATCCTTTAGACTTTTCAACTTACTTGCAAGTCCGAATACTGTTTCTCTTTCGCTTCAAAACGATAATATGGTGGCTCTCTATTATGATCTCTTTTTCGTTTGAATATATTTCTAAAATATTAATAAACTTATTATTAATATACATATAAGTATCAATGTAATATTAATAATTAATAGATATATCACTATTTCAATTGGTCTCCATACTTCAGCTAATCATTAATAAAAATTAATGGAAATAAAATATGTATTGAATTGTTTGTTTCATCAATTCATATTTGTTCATTTTTACATTGTTAAATAAAATGTACAGTTACACTTTGAAGAATAATAAATATTTTCTTTGTGTCTCTTTCATCATTATTTTATTATGATTATATTTTTCTTACCTCGTGGGACTTTTGAAGCGCTAGAAAAGAAAAAAAAAAGAATAATAAAGTTTAATTATCATGGGAATATAAGAGAATCAACAAGAAAAATTACAATACGCAGTATTCTTTTGTTTTTGATTTAAAAAATTCATCTCACTTTTTTTTTCTTGTCTTTATTATTCAAAATTTGTTCATCGTTCTTTTCTTCTAATTCAATATTAGTAGAGGATATTATTTGTGTTCGTGTTGGCCGTAGATACATCTGAAGAAATACAAGCGTAAAACTCAATTATATATATTTATGTATTTATAGTTAGAAAAATTCATTCTTCTGATTGCCAACAACTACTACACATACAATAAAAAAAACTAACGAAAAAAAAAGCATACGATTAGAATAAACAAAAACGCTGTGTGTGTGTGTGTGCGTGTATATCACACCACAACTAAAAAAGATAGATATTTGGCTTTCTGGAGATAAAATATGACGTATTATTTGTTTGACTAGTAAATAGAAAAAAAAAATTGAGACACAACACTACACACGTACAAACAAAGAAAAAGAAAGTTTGTTTCTCGGAAACAACATACAACAAATATCTGACCGTGGGAGGAGGAGAAGAGGATACAAAAAAAAGTCATTTTTCTTTTATAGTAATGAGTATATTTTACATAAGCATACAACTATGTTTTTCACTACGTTGTTTTGCACTTTGACTACGATTATCTTTTAATGATGAAGATTTATTTCCGCCAATATTTGTACCACTACCACTACTTTTATTTTTACGACCCTTTCGATCTTTACGTGTACGTTCCTTCTACAAGAATATAAATTATTTCTTTAAAAACAAAAAAAAAGTATTAAAAAATTTGACTTACATATTTTCGTATTTCTCGTACAAGAGTATAAAATGCTTCTTCAACACCTTGCCGTGTTTTAGCTGATGTTTGTACAAATGGCATCGATAATGATGCAGCAAAGTCTTTTGCATAAGATAAATCAATAGTACGTGTAGGTAAATCAATTTTATTTCCCACCACTAATGAAATTTAAATAATTCAAATTTATTAAATAAACGAAGGCGTTAATTTTTTTGTTTTATAATACTTACAAACCATAGGTATATCATCAGCGTCTTTAACACGTTTTATCTGTTCACGATATTGTTTTATCTCTTCAAATGATTTTGCACTATTAACTGCAAAAACGCATAGGAATCCTTCACCACCACGCATATATTGATCACGCATGGCACTAAAATAAGAACATATTTGACTTATATCTTGTAAAGGTTCTATCTACAAACCTATATTCTTCTTGTCCAGCAGTATCCTATTAATATGAAAAACAAAACAAAAATTCTAAATTAATTTTATTAATTCATTCATATACATACAAGAATATCCAGTAGACATGTTTCACCATCGACAACAGCTTGTTTTCGATAGGAATCCTCTATAATTTTCATTCAAAAAGAAAACAAGTCTTAAAAAGACAAACAAAAAATTATCTTCATACCAATTGTTGGATCATATTCATCAATAAAACTAGAAAGTAAATTAAATTAATAATAATTATGATAATAAATTTATTTCAAAACTTACTGGTTTTGAATCAGTTGAATTGTCAATGCACTTTTGCCCACGCCGCCAGCTGATGTTACAAAAAAAAGGAACACAATATATTAATCGAATAATTCAATTTGAAAATTATCTCATGTACCTCCGACGACGACGAGCTTATATTCAGTCATGACTTATCTTCGTATTTTCTCCTCTTTTTATTTTTACTATAAGTAATCTAAAGAAGTATATATATATATGACTAAATACAAGGTTTATGGCATTTCTATATATATATATATGAGAAAGAAAGAACGAGAATAAAAATATGATGCACTAGCATTTCTGTTTCCCGGAAGAATAAGAAAAAAAAACGATAGTTACATACATGTAACAGTAGAAAGCTATTTTAGAAAGAATTCGCTACTTGCACTGTTTTTCAATAGTATATGATTGTAGCACTTACTATAGATTGGATAATAGAATGGACTGATTAAAATTAAGCTATTGTAGAGGGCATTCGAACACAGAGCATCATGTTGATTGAATCTTCAATGGTTCTGATAGAGTATTTCTAATGACACTTATTCCAAGAAGTAGAAGCAAAGCCTACAAAACACGGATTATTTTCAATATACATGCTCTTTTACTTTGAACACTGGAATGTACACAATAGACTTCATTGAATAAAAGAACACTATTTTTAAGATGATTATATATATTATTTAGAGAAAAACAAAGTAATAATTTGACCTTAATCTATTTTTCTTTTGTAGAACAAATAACATTTTTCTATCATCTCATTATCTCTCTGTGATTATATTAGGAAAAAACGTACAAAAAAGAATTGCCTTATTCGCTTACAATCTTTGTTTATCATCCATAGACCTTTTTCTGTCAAATGAAAGAATATAAAGTTGTTTTTTTTTTTTCTTTCTGTTTTTCTTTAATAATCATTTTAAAAAGAAGTTAATCGTTCTACATTTCGATAAGTTCAACTGACACAACTAAGATATATTTGTTCACTGTGCGAGTATAAATAAAGCGTAAAAAAACCATTTTTTTTGTATTCCCATTAGAGACATTGTTCTGACATGTTGTCAACATTGAAATTAATTTATTATAATTATATTAAGAGAGTCATTACAGACACCATCAGATTGAGCACTTTGTAAGAAAAAAATCGGTTGCTGACTAAGCTTAAGATTTTTGTTGTTGTTGTCCTAAAAATGAACACTTTGAGAACAGTAGACAGAGTACTTAGATAGTTGAGTTCATTTAAAAAATGTATAATATTACATAAACACTCAATGTTTGATAAAATCATCGATTTGGAAGCATTTCATTCTAACTTGATTTTTGAATAAATCAAGTCTTTTTTTGTTTTAATTAAATATAACACATAATGAGTATTTTGTTTTAAAGTGAAAAATTATAATGGTCTTACAGAAAATCTGGTTATCGTATAAATAGTCTGTATAAGACCTATTTCTTCACGGACTATACAGACTAATTCTTCAATCCTTAGAAAATAAATCTCTCCAATAAGTCGTGTCAATTTCGTAATAGACATAAGAAATATGCTTAAACTTCTTATCTAAGATTAAATCAATTTTACGTTTTAATTAGTTTCATCACGATCATATTTAATTGATATATAAATATATAATCTTTTCCGTTACATAAAAATCTCTCCATGTGAACATCAAAGGACCAAATAGTTTCAAATCCGTCGGAGTGATTTTTTTCAGAAATGCTTCTTTCACGTGAACACCTCATTATTCTGAATGATGAACATCTATTTTGCCACTCCTCCCAATATTAAAATCTCTCCATTGTGAAAACACATGTCATGTTTTTTTTTACTTCTTTCTACTGGTTATCACCTTCTCTTTTATACAACTACAAGTCTATGCTTTTTATGCATAATTCAATTGCTCTATATGTTAAGAAAAGCATGACATCATGACAAAAACTTTACAAGAAAAAGCTTAAAATAATTTATGAGGTAAAATCAAGTTTAATTAACATTGATACTACTTCAACAGTAGAACGACAAAATAGCATTACAAGATTTTAACAAACAATTTTGTATTGCAGTTAAAAAAATCTTTTAATTCAAGAAATTCAAATGAAATCATATAAACAAGAGTATAGATAATCCGATATCCCAGTGAAGAATATTTGCTTCAAAGAACGGGAAAGAACGCGTTCCGTAAAATTAAAAGCCGTTTTTTTAAGAAAAGAAAACGTTCCAACAAAAGTGGAAAGTGTTCCAAAATGGAACCATTAAGAACACATTCCATGGTTTTTGGAATGCGTTCTTAACTGTTCCAGCTTTTTTGGAACGTTTTCTTTTCTCAAAAAAAGCTAACTCTTTGTGGAACACATTCTTGATTGTTATTGCCTGAATATAGATTCACTATAGGAGTTCTCGAGGAGAAGTTCGGACATAATTTTTTGAAAGATCGATTCTAGTGCAACTCGACGAGCTCTATCCAATGGCGTGCTCTAATTTTTCGTAGCTCAAACTGTTTTTTAAAAAGAAAATTTTGGAATCAGAACTGCCAGTTGTAAAGTATGACTAATTGAAGGTTCCACCATTTTTGGCATCAGTTTCAGGGTACCGTACTTAAGAGCTGTCATTTTTGAATCAAAAGTGACGTTAAATTCAGATGAAAGCGTTCATCAGTCAAAAGAATCCATTCTCAGGTGTTTCTCAAGAGAATGTTAAAAAAGCGGTCTCATTTCGATGGAATCCTATCTTGACTGTTTCGAAATAGAATGGGCAGACACACGTTCTATTGGTTCATGGAATGGTTCAGAATGCTTTCTATCCAGGTAAAGAACAATTTTTGAACTGAGAAGAAAGCATTCCGTACTAGTGTGGAACAGTAAAGAATGCGTTGCTTTAGATTCAGAACTTTTCTTTTTGTTTGTGAAAACGTTCGCAAACCTGTAGAACGCATTCTTCATGTAAAAGACAAGTCTCTACATTTTTATGAATGCGTTCTCTTCCGTTATTTTTAGAAATATTTTTCACTGGGATGTAGCAAGAATTAGTGTACGAGCAGATATTCTAGAACAGTTTCATTATATCACAGTAAACCATTCGTTAAATGTCTGCACGGAACACTTCCATATAGTGAACGCTTTCTCAATGGTTTCGATGGTGTTCACAAAAGATACATTCTTTTTTGTTTATGGACCGTTTCAGATACAATGCAGCATGCATGCCTTTCATTCAGCTTTGCTTTTTTTTTTTACAAGGATTATTTTGTTTTTGCATAAGTATTTTTAGCATAGATATGTATAAAAATGTTGGCTCTGTTCACTGACTATTAATTAAAAAGTGTTTAGTGAATATCTCTCTAAGCATATAGAAAAGAAACTAGAAACTTCAAAATAGACTCTACATCACGAACTGCATATTTGTTGAAATCTTCAGCAAGATCACACTTCAAAAAACTTCTTCTTAAAAGCTGGTTTTCTAGAGATCCTTTCAAATCTTGAAACAAAGTCTTTTGTCTCATCATCCACTAGAAATTCGGTGAAAGGATTTGTAACATTTGGTATTGTTTTTGAATTACTTATTCGATTATAAGAAGGTTTTTCTGTACGCCATTACATCACCTATCACGCATAAATCATTTTTTTGAAAAATGTAGGCATGTTCACAAAGAAACGCTTCTTTTTAAATTAAAATCCATAAAATGAAGGTCAATGTTCTTTCTTGTGTTGCGTCACTGACAAAAGAAATGGTTTATATATCTTTTATTAATTTTCATAAATTGAACTATAACAAAAATGGATGAACAATAAAGGAAACTATAAAACACGATCAGCAATAAACATTTGACATAAAGCTGGAATAGGACGAGCAGTTGGCATATTTGGTAATTTTCCAGCACTACCAGCAATATCAAGATGTGTATAATTTAATGGTTTTTCTGAATCACAACCATGTTTATCAAGACCAGATGCTCGTGCAAGAAATGCAGCAGGATATTGATGACCACGATCAGTAGCATTACTTGGTCGTCTATTACATTGTAATAAATCAGTTACTTCACTTTTATCATTAATAAAATCAAAATCCTAAATAATAATATTTAAATTTATAAAGCATAAATAGGAAAAACAACAATAACAAACTTCTCGTCGAATAGTTGAAATCTCAAATGGATCACCAATTTCTTCACCTAAAGTTTGAAGTTTTTGAGCTATTCTATTTGCTCGTGCTGGTCCATTATCCATCACTGCCTTTGAAAGAAATATTTCAAATAATCTTTCATTTAAATAGAAGTATGTGTTATTTTTTTCTCTACCGTATAATTATCTCCATACGATCGAACAACATGTCCAGTAAGTGTCGCCATAGTAAATAATTGTGGATTAACTTCTTTAACTGCTAATTCTTTCATATAACACAATGGATCAGCTATAACTAATCGACCTAAATGGTATTTATATATATATAAAATATGTTTATTTATTAATTTTATTACCTTCTGCATCTGTATTTCCAACACGAATTCGAACGCCAGCTCTTGATTTTAAAATTTCATCTGTTGCATAACTTTCTTCACCACAATTATTACGAGCTACAGCCATCACACCAATAGCTTTAAATTGTTTTGGTTTCAACTCAGAAAGAATTTTGAAAAAGCCAGCTACATTAGCAGCACCACATTTATCATAAGACATACTCGTCTACAAAAAAAAACAACTTAAAAGTATAATAAACAATAAAAAAAAATTTATTTACCATAGCACCACCAGCTATAAACGAAAACAAAATATATTTTAAATGTCTATTAAAAAGAAAATCAATTTTGACATACTTTTAATATCAAGACCACCAGTATCATAAGTAACACCTTTACCAACAAGTAATAAAGTTGAATCAATCTCACCTTGACCTTGATATTCAAGAAAAATTAATCGACCCTGATGACGATCAATATCTATATACAATTAAAAATTAGTTGAACAATTTTGTATATTACTAATACGTACTGTTCGCAGCTCGATTAACGGCAGCAAATAAAGGAAAATTGTTTTCAAATTCATTTTTATCTTTTATAATATTAATCTATAATTAATCTCAATATTGCTCAGATAAGATAATATAATTTTTTTTTACTTTCACATCAGATGATTTATTAAATAAATCTTGTACATATTCAGCAACACGTGGTGGTGCCATACGTTCAGGATCGGCTCCACCAATATCTCTAGCTACAACACGTCCCATTTCAATTGCTCGAGCATAATTAATTAATTTTTCATTATAATTATTATCTAATGATGGTTGACCAATAAAAACACCTAATCGTTCAACTTTATTCTTTTTTTCAGGTTTATCTTCTCGAACTTGTAATGGCTAAAAAAAATTATTAAGAATTAAACTAATAAAATCATTTTATGTACCACATAAGTTGTATCAAGTGCTGATAATAATGAAACTAAATGTGCTTGTTGATATTGTTTTGAACCAAAACTTGCTATTAGAGGAGCTTTAGCACCAAGTGATAAAGCTTTTTTCATTCCAGCTGATGCTGCATCAGTAAAACGACGTACATCATCATAATCTCGATGAATTTTGCCTGTTGGTGTATAAATCTAATTAAAAGAATAGAAAAATGCTTCGTTTTTCTTTTCTTCTTTAATGATTGAATACTAACAAGTCGTTTGCCTGGAACATTATCATTAATCATTAATGTAAGTTCTTTATTAAATTTTTTGTTTAACTAAAATGAAATAAAATAAATTAAAAAAAAAAGTGAGTATTTATTTTCAATTCTAACTTGACTAAATTTTTGAAGATCTTTTGTTACTGAATTATGAACATATTCTTTAATTTGATCTAATTCTGTAGCAACAATAATTAGAGCATCATAATCTTTTGATGGTGACGAGAGATTTTTAACCAAGTTAACATCACTATAATGACATAAATTTAATCAATATTTTATTGTTTAGTTTGGATATGTATCTCTTATAATTATTAATATGAATAACTTACGTCAAAAATCGACGATAGAATATTGATGAATAAGATAAACGTTGAGGATGTAATAGTAGACGTCGAAAAATCATTATTCTACTTGCAAAATAGGAGGTCGTTGAGTAAAGAAATACCGTGACAAGAGATTGCCACAATCTTAAAAAGAAGGATGAAGAACAGGCAAATATAGGGTATATAACAATAATTATACGCATAAATTGAGAAAAACAAGAAACAAGAAGTCGATAATATAATTCCTGTTTTCTTTTTCTATTTCATCAATAAATTCTAATTAGTTTAAAATAAATAGGGATAAGACAAATCAAGAAACACGTTGATTGTTTATCATAGTTCCAGGACGATAATTACAGCCACCGGAATAGCAAAAAACTATACTATTTTATCGTACTGTACACAGTTGATAACGATCTAAAAATCGATTATCCGACTGTTTACGATCGCCTATATTGTAGCCATAATATTGTTTCTACCAATCGGTGACAAAGCAACTATCGAAAACGGCAATTTACTAATGTGCTTATTTCACCTAGGTTTTAACTCAACAAAACAAAAAACTAATGACATACTACAAAATTATTTCATCAGAATTTTTTTTTTCATTGAAAATTAAAAACAAAAAAGAAATCATCTTCGCACATATAATTCACGTTAAAAGAATAAATAAATGCTTAACAATATTTGCTTGTTTTTACTTAAGAAAGAAAAAATATCGAGAATTTTTAATTACACAAAAATATATAAAAAAATTCTCTAAGGTAAAAATATACGTTGATATTGTTGAATAGGTGTTCGACAAATAGGACATAGTTGTTGTTCGAAATCTCTTAATTGTAATTGTTGTGCACATGTAAGACATAAGCCTAAATGTGAACATGGTTGAAGATTATAAATAATTTCATTTTCTAAACAAATAACACATAGAAGACGATTATTTTGATTATCTTCTAAATTTTCATGAATTATTGGTGTAATAATTTGTAATTGATTTAATTGTTGTCGTGGTCGTCGTCGTTTTGAATAATACTGATAGATTATATAAATAGCTGTACAACCAGCAGTAATACCAAAAACAATACTAAAAAGACGAGCAACATTTGAATGTTTTCGATAATCAGATAATATTTCATGACGAGATAATCGTGTTAACATTCCACCCCATTGTTCATGCGGAATAAGATACCATATACCAGAACGTTTTTCAAGACGACCAAGACCAGTTAATGGTACATCAAGTAATAACATTTCTTCTTTTGTTTCAATACCTGTTGAGATATCTCCAATAACTGTACCAATAAATTTTTGTACAAATGATGGTATATTAGGATCAAATTTAACATGAATTACTTCTAATTGATCTTCAATTGAATTAAATTCTAATGGTTTATCAATACGAATAAAATTTCCTTTTGGTGAAACAAGTCGAAATGATACATGACGAGTTAAATCACTAATTAAATGTTTTGTTTCAGCCCTTTATATTATACAAAAAAAAAGCAAAAAACTAATATTAACAAAAAAATGACATTTTCTTACCAAATACTACGAAGTCTTTCAAGTCTTCTTATACGTACTGTTAATCGATGTATAACACCAGTACAATCTGGTACAAATTGAGATTTTATTACTGAATTGGGCTTTGAATCATTTGTTTGTACAAGACCATATACTGTTGCATAATCAATAGTAGTTGTTAAAGATGAAAATTTTTTTAATTCATCTATATCAATATCAGGTGCTACCTAAGATAAAATTAATATTCGATATTCAAGTAGAGAATAAGAAAAATAAATGTTTCATTTGATATTCTCGATTTTTATAGATATTTCTTTCTATAATAGGAGACATTTAGAAAGAATTGTTTTTTTTTGAAGTATTGTGACAAATGACAGTAGATAATTATAAAATTTCTCATCGAGTAGAGCTTTTGTGTTGATTGGCAACCACAAGTTTTGTTTGGTGACTCGACATACAATTACACATTTTTAGATTATAATCACAATAAACTTTTCATGCTTTAAGGTTTAATAAACGCAAGAAATTTCCTAATAGCTTTTCACTAAAAAGTAATACATTGTGTATTTTAAAAAATTTATTATGACATGGAATATAAAATTGTGTTATCTAAAACACCTATTTTGCATCGACGGCTTCGAAAAATCATACTCCATACATCATTAATAGTTTCATAAAACTTCGAAATTCGTTACGAAATACTCTAAAGAGTATTGTAACGCTGGACAAGTCCAGTCAGACTTGACTTCCGATTTCTATAATTGATATCTACTCGATTAAAACAAAAGTCTAATAAATTCAATCAGATGCAATGTTTTATTAGGAAAAATTCTTTTCTTTTACAATTGATGCTTTAAAATAAAATAAAGAATATTTATCTTATTATTTCTACCTCAAGAACTGCCAAGAAAGTATCGTTGGATTTCCACCATCGATAAAATCCATATGATACTCCAAGTTGTCCAATAACCCAAAGCCAATTCCAATCAATCATTGTCTGGAATACATACAAAAGAAAAACAGAGTTTGTTTTCTTTTCAATCAAATGATTCAACAAGGTTTCGTTTATATTTTTATTCGAAAACAAATAACAGAAAAATTAATTTTTAGTCTATCTTCGTCTTAGTGATTGATAAATAGATCCTTTTAGTGGAACATAATGTATTTGTTTGTTTTTTCTTTCATATAACCATTTTTTTTTGTGTTTTATTTTCTTATTATTGGTCTATTCCATTTAGTCTTGAATTATTTAATGGCGTCATATTCAATTGATATTTCTTGAAATAGGATGATAGCGTTTTCATAGAAATAATTCATTCCGATGTAATAAACAATCAATGACTTCAAGAACTCTAATTATCTTATATAAAACATTTGGGGACACTTGATATTCAATGTGTCAATCATAATTATAATTAATATAATAAACACCAGATAAATGTTTTCGAAATCGAAACATTTTTTATTCAGTAAATATACCCATTGAAGATTTGATATCTGTTCGAATTAAACCATTCGTTTTTTAGCATCACTTAAAACTATATAATTAAGAAATCAAATAGATTAACTGACGTATAACCATCGAAAGTTTTTCGGAAGAAACAAACACGCAAGAATTAGTAGTGCATATATTATTATTCGTTAGACATTAATCAATCAAATTGAAATACATAGATGGCATACATAAGCAACAAAGTCTTAAATTATTCCTATGCCAAAATCTACTTAGAAATTTTAACCGATTTTAATCGGCTTATTCTGCAAAGAGTGAAGGCTTCGTACAAAAAACAAAAATTTTACACCGTTTATCAAAAATAATCATGATTTTCTTAGAAGTATTTTGCATTCGACGATTCGGTAGAGCGTCAAGCTAACCAATTAAGCTGTTACCCCGTAAAATGCGAGAGCTTATCAAATGCGTGTGCATACATGGATCGTTATGACATGGTATGCGTGGAAACGCATCACAGAGTGAACTATATTCATGTGTGAACGTACGAAACGTTGCACATGTATACGCTTAGTATTGTCGCTGCATACGAAGATGTATGAATACTTTTGTAGAGAACTCATGGTTGTGTATACAAGACAATCTTTGAGATGGTAAAAAAACGAAATAGATGCAGTAAATATGCATTAATATGTTGGAGGTTTTTTCAGAGATGATATTCCAAAATACATACTTTGCTTTAAAAGATGATCTTCTTCGTAATTCAATCAAAAGTGAAGAATTTCATGATCATCTGATAACTGTAGGCGAATTGAAAACACTGAACAAGATTTTTGAGCCAATATATTGTGAATGCATGAAAATAATTCCATTTTAATGAGATATAACTAAATATACGCTGAAGAAAAAAAAATAAATTCTTACTTTGGGACAACATGCACACTATACAAACGTAGCTTCTCAAAAGAGATACTTTTTCGAGTAATATAGAGCTACTTAATGATTAAGCAACTGATAATTTATGAACTAAGTACTTAAAGTCTATCGCTATTTAAAAGATTTAATAGCTAAGCTATTGACAACATGTTATAGGACTAGTGAATGAGTTAAATAGCTGATTTATTTCTAACAACCTTTTTGTATTGCATCTCTCGGTGTAACTAGCTAGTGAACATTTACAACTATTTAAACATTTTTCATAGATAGTTATTGAATGATTGAAACGGTTGCACTTTTCGTAACAGCATTGGGTTTATTAATCTGAAATATATATTATGCGCACTTAAATTCAAATGTTATTAAATACTATCGTAATCGTTTTTAAGATTCGATAATCATTCAAGAAAGAAAACGTATATATTTTACATAATTTCAATTGTTACAATTAAAAATTTCAGAAGCAATGATTTTTTCTTTTTTCGTTGTAGCTCAATAGAACTGGACGAGTTACATCCGAAAAAAGATTATCCTGCATACTTAAAATTGGTTTTTTAATAGGCAGAATTTTGTGCCTATTATTTTTACATTTCAGAATAGGTTTAACTTGCATTTTTCAGAAAATTGTTTTTGAACATGTATGATGTTTTTTTTTTCTCATATGATTCGGCGAGTTCTCTTCGACTATGATGTCAAAAGAAAAAACAATAATTCATCTGAAATTTAAAAGTGTGATCACATGACATAGACTGTAAATCTCGTAAAATTTTAACTATCGTAATCAGTGCATGCTATTCGCAGTCGATGATGTAAAATTTTTAATTTGACTAAGAGAGCACTCATTTGAACTGAATATGATTAATCCACTTAACATATAGTATGTATGTTTCAACTGTGAGTGATATTCAAAAAAACCCTTATTGATACTGGATGACTGGAGATTAAACAGTTACTTATTCAGCGGCTTTCTTTTCTTTGCCCTTGCTCACAACAAACCAGTAAGAATACGTGAGTAGCTGACTATTTATTCAAGAGCTAAGAATCATTATTAACTACTAATGCAATCTCTCAATAATCGGTGAGGCTAATTGATAATTTACTATGGCATATCCATCAAACAGGATAATATTCGTACTCTCCATCAAAATTCACCTAGACCTGATAATTGAAAATATGTTTCATGCGATCGATGGCATCCTGGTAAAAAAGTAATATCTCCAGTTAGGATTTCTAAAGATAACTTTTGCTGCAACTCGAAGTTGTTTGTATCTTAGATGAGTCTCCCAACTTTTTCAAATCAACTATCAAACTACTCGATTGCTTTGGAAAAAACTCATCAGAAAGCCAAGATTTCCACCAAAACCCTATTACTGAGAAGGTGCTTGTTACGGGCATTGCCCTTACAGTATGCTTTTCTTTTTCTTTCTTCTTTCTTTTCCCCGGGATATGATATCTTCTTTTTCGATGTGATATCTTCGGTCCTATATCATCATCTCTTTCTTTTCGTTAAAATCCTCGATGCCGATGATCATATTTATGTGCGTTTTTTTCCTTTTCTTTTTGATTCCTTATGTAGCTTAGCTGTTATGTGTGTGTGTGTAAGTGTGATGGGTGAAGATGTACGTGTGTGTGAGGACATTTCTTTGATTCAATAAAAATAAATCGAAGAAGATTTATAACATCTTATTCCCCTAATAGTGCTACTCACAGAAACAAAGAAGGTATGGAACTTATAATGAACTCTAGCTCTGATGAAAATTCCAGGCAAATAAGCTATTCCTATCACGCGTAAGTGAAGCATCAAACTAGTCACAAATTTGTAATTTCCTCTATTTTAGATAAGTTATAAAAAAATGAGCAATTAATTTTTTGAGCCGAAAACAGTATTCTGGGTAGAACTTATCAAGATATATGTCTAGGTTAAAGTTCATGTTAAATCGGCTAAACTGTTTTTCAGATATAGTCACGTCAAGATCTTCTTAATCAGAATGCTCATTTTCAGGACTTTTAGTAAAAAAAATCTATAAAAAATAATCGAAGTTTCAATGTATTTCAAAACGATTTATGCTTAAGTTCGTAAAACTCCTCCCTCCTCACCATACCTTGAATTGAGCTGAATCTCACAACTTCCATTGAACAGCTGCCCTGTGCCAACGGTCTTAATTCACGTGGAATGGCTCAAATGACAGTTGTAAAACCAGTTAATGGTGCATAATGAGCCAGATAGATAATCAAACGATCATTCCAACCTGTTTTTCAGAAATCTGTGGATACGCATTCATAGGTTCTTTTGTAATGAATGACAGAATGCCTTCTTTTCAACTTCCTTTCGACTTCCATCAACTAATCCAAACATGAAGGTCTGACTCTATAAAGTGCAGACATGGCTGGGTGGCTGTGTTGTTCGAAACATATCCAAATGGTGCTATATTCAAATCTTGGTACCACCTGCTCTGTGATGATACTTCACAAGTCACTAACAGACATTTGTTTACAATTGCCTGTGCGATATCATATTGGCTATGTTGTGACATACAACCGCTCTTCTCGCTAGCATTTGGTTTGTATGCGTATAAGACGAGCTCAAGCCCTTGAGTCCAAAACCCCTGCATCAGACGATCCTTTAGTCGAGAGCTACAACTCGTATTATTTCTAGAAAAGATATCAAGATGTTGGATTTGTTTCGAGGAAGCTTCCATATCATAAAGAAAATGAAAGATAAAAGTATTATCTCTCTTCTTCTACTGAATTGGTAATCAAATAAAGCTACTTCCAACAGATTGTAACTGCTTCTCAAAGAAAAACGTTTGCATAATCTACCTTTAACACCATTATTCTTTTCTATGAATAGGCTCTTTCTCGATAATTACCATTGAATGGGTATCGCACTGCATATCACATATGAGTTTCAACTCTTGTTATATCTATTCTTTTTCTTTTTCTTCATATCTTAATATAGTTGCAATTCTCTTTTTTTTCAAGGATATCATCATAAAGTAACAAAAGAAAAAAGAATATAACTTTACTTTTTGACATTGAAAATGATATATGAGAAACCGAGTGTCCATACACATTAGAGACAAGGTATTTGATTAATTTATTTCTTGACCTGAAAAACTAGACTCTGTATTAAATGTTATTTAGGCATGAGAATAATAGATTTGTCAGCAAATTTATTTTATTCATGTTATTATAGCTCATTCTCTCTTTTTTTCTCTCAGTAATCAAAAATTAGAGAACTTCTTTATTCATTTTTTTGCATCCTTAAATGACAAGTATAGGGTAATCTATAAAAAAAGCTATATTTACTTTACAGTCATTTGTCAAGAGAATCAATGCCACATGTCGCCATGTTTTTAGGCACAAATTATTTAAATTCAATGAATAATATAAAAAGGAAGAACGAATATGTCATAAAAAATGAGTTTAGAAGCATACTACTGTACTCCATTGCTTTTATGAAACACGATTTCAAAAGGAATGATGAATTATTTAGGGTTGAAGTTTTAACACCTCTTCTCGCCCTTGCCGCCCCTCCCTCTCCCTCTTCAGACCTTGATAGACGCTACTGGTGTGCGATCACAGACCGTGTATTAACGACTGCTCCTTACAACATATTAAACACTTTCTTGGTGAATTTTCGAAGCATTTGGTAAAAAATTGCGAAGAAATGTCTTCTGAGACGCATGGAATACGACCACCTTCCTGTGATTAGCAACAGTAACTGCATCGTCTTTCCTATTTTAATCTTGTAATGATTCCGCTAACAGCTTTTATTTCTGTATTGAAAATCAAATTTTTAAACTAACTTCATTTAAACAAAATTTTCTTTCGATTCTGTAATCTTTTCAGGAATGGACTGGTCACGACGTCATCGATCAACTTATTTAGTTTTATTAATATTTCCATATTTATGTATTATGTATTCATACTTTTTCAAATCATCATCCATCAACAATTTAACACAAATAAAACAGTTGTCTCCTTCACTAAAAACAACTTATACTGGACGAGTTTTAGTTATCTATGTTTGGGCTAATACAGATGTACAATCACTTGGTAATCTTCAGTTTTTTATTCGTTATGGTGTTCATCCATCACAATCAGCTGATTATTATTTTATTTTACAACAAGTTAATAAAAAACTAGTGAATGAATCAGGTTTACCTAAACTTCCATCTAATGCACATTATATTCAACATGAAAATGAATGTTATGATTTTGGTACAGTTGGATGGTTTCTTTCACAAAATATAATAAATACAAATTTATATAAGTATTTTATCTTGATGAATGCATCTGTACGTGGACCATTTTTTGCTACTTACTTTGATGATGAACTCATGTGGTGGTTTACCGTATTTACTAAACGTTTAAATGATGAAATAAAACTTGTTGGTTCAACAATTAATTGTGAGCATAAACCACATGTGCAAAGTTATCTGCTAGCCACTGATCAAGTCGGTTTGTCTATATTAACTGATAAAAAAAGTGAAGTATTTATTTGTAAAAAAGGTTATGATGATGCTGTTTTTAGTGGTGAAATAGCTACTAGTCAACTTATTCTTCATGCTAATTATCAAACAGCATCATTACAAACGAAATATCAAGGTTGGGATTTTCGTAAAAAAGAAACCTGGGGTTGTAATAATCAACTTAGTCCTATATATAATGATAAAGCTATTGATGGCATTAGTCATGATCCATATGAACTGGTATTTGTTAAATATAAAGGTTTACCGCCATTTGATACCGATCTTGAACGACGTGCATTTGTCTATCAAAAATGGTTAGATGAACGGCCACAAATAAAAGAAAAAATTTCAATAACTATAAAATAAATAAACTCTTAGTTTTGTATTTATTGTGAATTCATATTTCAATTGAAAATATTTGGAAGAGAATGCTTTAATTTGCTTAACTTTATCTGACTATAGGAGAATCAATAGTCAAAGTTCATGATAATAACTACGTCCTTGATCATATAATGCAGAAAATTGTTAATTATATCATTGATGGTTCATGGAGGTATTGTGTAGCCACGTTCCCGAATGGGAATTTTTAAACTTACAATTAATGAAATACTAATTATGAAAAATCAAAAGAAAAAGCAAGGGGTTTTTCTAAAATCAGAAAAATTACTGATGTTGTCATGTACAAAAAAAAAGAAAAAAAATCATTTTCATCATCATTTTTTAGCTTGTATTACCAAGCAGTGATGATAAAATGTTTCTTACAAATTAAATCACACAGAGACAAAAGAAAGATAATAATGCATCAATCATATTATTAATCATTCTACCGTTAATCAATAAACTATATAAGCAAAATAGATAAAGCAAATCTCTTAGAAACTAATTCAAACAAAAGGAAAATAAATCAAATTTGAAGATTATCTAGTTGTCTGTTTGTAGTGCTTTTCAACATAACTTAACTTCACTATAAACATATTAGTTTCAACAAGTCTCGATTATACAACATCTATAATATCATTCTTTTTAATTGAGAATCAGGCATTTCAAGAGAAACAGAAATTTACAATAATGATGTTTGCATCCTCTCAAAAATGAAGAGTATATAAAATAAAACAGATACTCTGTTTTTTTAATTCGGATGTATTGTATTTAGTGATTGATATTTTGAGAAATAACGAAGATTTACAAATTTTTTCAAAGCGATTGAATCAATGAAAAGCAAAGGAAGAATTTGACATATTGGCTATTAAACCACATGAACTACCTTCAATAGTTTTTATTTCATCATCGACATGAGATTAACAGTCCACAAGATATTATACAAAGTATAAAAGATTATTTCATTGTTTCTCTAGTGAAAATGTACCAACACATTTACAAGCTGTAGCAAATGGTGAGAATGGTCATACAGTTCTTTATTATTTGGAATTTATTATTAATGATTTACATCGTTCCTAATCATGGGTAATCTTACGTAGGATATCCTAGGTCAGAATTCGCATATTTCCTGAAAATATTCGCCTACAAGCTGGCTCCAATGGAGATCCCTTTGGCTCCAAGTAGAACTCGACGAGCTCTATCCGATGCACTAATCACTTTCCCGAAAAATCCCTCCCATCATAGAGCAAAATACGAATTACTGTCAAAAAAGACGGCAAATCACATGCAAAGTTTAAACAAACCCGGCGCGATTCGCTCTAGCACTCACTAAAACGAGACCAATGATGGCTCCAGATAGAACTCGACGAGCTCTATCGATTGGGCACACTTTGAGCTCGATTTCACGCTTCCCCCACCCTAGAACCAGTCTCAAAATCTGAAAACCCTGGATTTCCAGCTATTTTCCGTCACGATTCGTTCAACAGCTGGCTCCAATAAAACTAATCACGATTCCAGATAGAGCTGGTCGTGCTCTATCGATTGCATACCTTCCGAGATCAATTCCATGCTCCTCCCATCCTGGACCCAGTCTTGAAGTCTTTGAATCCCTGATTTTTTGGATATTTTGCGTTACGATTCATTCAAGGGTTGGCTCCAAGAAAACTAATCACGGTTTCAAATAGAGCTTGACGCGCTCTATCGATTGCACAGCTTAGTCATTCAGCTTCAGCAATTTTTGACGGAGAAAACTGTTAATTAGTGTTTTCCCTATACTGAAACGTTAAGAAAAGAAGTCATTCGTTCATTTCATTCACTCGATCAGCGTAAAGCAGTTTAAAGAGCGCAACTCTGTTTCATTCTTCACAAAAATTTTTTCTCATTGGATATCTTTCCTCCCTGGACTGTAGCGGGAGCCGCATAAGAAACTGTGCCATTCCTTGCTTGCTTCTTCGTTGTTACATGCAACTGAGGGCCAAAAAAAACATTCTTCTTTACTTTGGAAATTAAAAAGAGAAAAAGCCTTATGGCAGTCTTCCCTGGAGGGGCAACGGACAAAGAAACATTACTCATCCAAAGGGGGGGGGGGGGAAGGGGGAGATCAAAGGAACATGTATCATCCGAGGCAAGATGAAAGAAACATTACACATCCGGAGGGCATAGAGGTCAAAGAAACATTTACTCCCACCCACGGAGGCGACCTTTAGAAACCTGTCGTTTAAGGAAATTTTGCGTATAATGCTTACAGTCACTTAAATTTTATTCTCGAGATGCTCCACCTAATCAAGGGGCATCGATATAATAAGCAAACAATTTTAAAAATGGTGGTAAAAATATTTTAAAAAATTAATGAATAATATGTAAACAAAAATACGGAAGAGGAAGAGAAATATAAATTTTAAAAGTTTTAAACAGCTAATATAAAAATTTATCACAAATTCTAAATCATTTTACATGATAGTAACAGATACTACTTCGTTTTTACAAGAAATTATAATGATCCTTGTCGTTTTTCAAAACTCAAATAAAAACCATTAGATGGGGTAAATGAATTTGCGGCAAATTCAATAAAAAAACAAAAAAAACAATTTGAAGAAAATACATTGATAGTGGCATAGTAGTTTAGTGGTGCTAGTGGTGCAGCGGTATACCGAGTGTCGCAAAAGTTTTGCGACATTTTTTGTTTTGCATGTATCTCTATTCAGAAGCATGACAAAACGTTGATCTTTTTTTTTAAAAGATGCACCATCCAGTTTTCTACAAAACTCTATTAGTGTTGAACTAGAACAATAAAACTGAACATTTTTACAAGTCACATAGATTAATCATGTGAATTGCGTTTACTTCCCACACATTTTAAAAATTTTTTTCAACTAGCTTGCCAAATTACAAACAAGCGCGTGACAGAGATTTTATTTGTAATTTGAGTGTACATAATATGCTCTTTCTGAATTATTTATCAGTGTTTGATTGCAATTTACATTTGTCTAAAAACTATGACCTGTCTATGATACTACACCGAAAATGACTCCCTTGATGCTATTCGAATTTCTGCTCCATCCGAATCGTTTTTTTCCACGCGTTATTTTGACGTCATATAGAAAGAGAAAACAATTGCCAAAAAAATACTAGAAAATGAGTTCGATTTAGTTATAGATACCATTGTCAGGATGCTTTCTTTTACAAGGAGGAGCCAAACACAAAAATCGTGGCGTCTTCAAAATATGGCAAACTATCCAGTTCAAAGAATAAGCATTTAAAAGCGTCGGATATATACTCAATCGACTGAGGATTTTAAGGGCCGTCTATCAATAAATCATGCTATAATAACAAAAGATTCACTTGCACGAAAAGAATGAATTATTAAAAAATGTATGGGAAATAAACATAATTCACATGATTGTCGCATGGGTCCTGTAAAAATGTTCAATTCTATTGTTCTAGGTTAAGGTCAATCAAGTTTTTCAAAGAATTCAACGGCGCATCTTTTAAAAAATGGATCAACGTTTTGTTACGCTCCTGAACAGAGATACATGAAAACGAAAAATGTCGCAAAACTTTTGTGACACGCGGTAGTGGTGTAGCGGTGTTAGTGGTATAGTGGTGTAGCTGTCTGGCGATCTGACACCATACTACCATTATACTTGCGATATTATGGGTCACATATGTCGATCTTCACCTACCACGCAGCCACACTTTTGAGCTAGCGAGTGGTCAGTCTTTGTAAAGTCTTCAATTAATAGGACTCAGCCTTCGATACATTTTTTTAACTTCAGGATAGCGAGTGAAATATATATATCAAAAATTTTCCAATAAGCTCAAAGGTCTGCAGGGAATGGATTCGATCCGTCTTCACAACCCCTCGCTCCGTCATTGATGTTAACATTCATGTCAAGCTAGCAAAAACAGAACACAGATTCAATCACAATTGACCGACCAGAAAATCGAAAAAATACCACACACGAGTCATAAGCTACCGAACACGTTTTCCTTTTCCCTTAGTTTTATCCTGAAACAAGTTCCACTGCTAGTTCTTCCCATATAAACTCAATCTCAGCACCATCACAAAAAGCCATAAAGCACAGCAACACCTTCCACAACCCGATGTCGCATTCATACAGCACGAAATCTTCCACTCTACAAACCAATGCTTTCACGCTTGCGACATAGTAATTCGTAGAACTTTACATCTATCATACCAACCGCAGAAAACAAAGACAATCCACCAGCACTTACCTAAACTCACCAATAAACAACGGCAGCAAAACCACCTTCCCTATCACATATTAAACACCGTATACCTATGCAGCAGCTGATCATTCCCCTTTTTACTTTGCTCTAAAACCTTCTCTAAGAGATCCGACGTGGTAGATTTAGTGAGATATTACATACTCTATTGCATGATGTAAAAATCCTTTGTGCTATATATTCACAGACCTGTAACTTTTCTCTTCAATGTCACGTATATACATATGTGTATTTTTTTCTGCACATTGATGATCACCAATGGTACACTTTGTTTCCAGCTGCACAACATGTCCAAGAGATCGGATGTGGTGTAACCAGCCCAGAATTTGATGCTCTATCACATCAACCACCACCAATCTCTGGGACATATCGATGAAGAGAGAACTTCTCTCTTCAATGCCAGGTATATGCATATAAATGTGTATTTTTCTTTATATATATGCATCATTAATGATGGTCGGCGTTGTTTTCAGCAAAGTGTAAAGAAATGTCAATAATATTATGCAGCTGTTTATTTTTTCAATCGAAGATATTATTGAATTTTACTTCGGTTATCTGCAGAATTATAAAAGTTTTCAATAGAAACCTGTAGAATGAGTGAGTGAAACGTCTACAAAGTGATTTTTAAAATATAAATTAATAATTTATTACACCCTCAAGAGAAATAATAAAAATCACACTTTTCGGTATAAAAGGTCCCTATCAGTATCTATTGTGCTCATCATAGTTATCATGATCGTGGAGATCGACATACTCATCGTCAAATTGGGAATCAATTTCATGATTTTCTTGTTCCATAATCAATGTCTCAAAGATACAGTAATTTTGAAACTTTGCAGGTTCTTTGATCCGCGTTTCCAAAGTACTTCCAATGACAAGACCTTGTTTAGTTGAATCTTGATTCACCTGATCGCAGTTCCTTAGGTGAAACAATAAAATAGTGAATAATGCCGATGTTGGATAAGAAAAACTTTTCAAAGACAACTTAAAATTAGTTAGACACGAAAAAGTCTGTTCTGCTACGCTGGTATTGACTCCCATGAAGTTGATTTTGTTTTGCTCCGAATCAGGATTGAATAAGGTCTTGCACAGTTCACCTTTATGTACAGTATTATAAAAACGATCTGAAACTAAAATCATGTTCATCAATTGTTGAGAATACGGCGTATTTTTCATGTGTTCTCCATTAAATCGATACTTCCAAAATTTGTGTAACTGGCATGCTGCGTCATATACAAGAAGTGATGGTATGGTGTGGGTGTGGGGTGTGGACATATTTCTTTTCTTCACCGACGCCCACACCCACACCCAATAACATAAAATTGTTTGATTTTAAATAATATTTGAAGAATATATTGAGAGCTAAAACAAAAAACCTATATTCTTTTTACATGTATTGAATAACATAGATGTCAATATGTTTCGTTTTTGTTTTTCTTTTGTTCAAATTAATCTGGATCGAAAGAAAGAGAGAAATTAGCAAAAAATGATTCATCAAACAAAATAGACGGAAATATGCCATTGTGTATGTCAGTATATAAAGATTCGATATGAGTGAACAACAGAAATAAAAAAAAATGAGCGTTAGTTCATTCGAAATTTTACCTGACGATGTTCTTTATGAAATTTTTTGTTATTTATCTCCAATTGATATTCTTCAATCATTGTTTTTATTGACAAAACGTTTATCAAGAATCATATCAAATGAATATTTATGGCACATTCATATTGGTGATACAACAATGTCATTAATGATGTTTAATGATCAATGTCAAAATATCTTGAAATTAATAGGAGGTCGGGTTGTCTCGCTACGTGTAACATTAATTGAT